AGATGACCCTTCTCTGACTCATATTTACTCATTTTTCTTTGTTAATATTCAATGTTAATGAATGCCGGCTTTTTTTTAAAAAAATTATCTTTAATTTGTTGAAAGTAGAGAAAATTTGCATCTTGAAAGTATTATTAAACATTGAAAGCATTTTGAAAAATTAATAGTAAATCTAAAAGTATGTGCGTAGGAAAGTTTTCGTATCTACAACTGATGGATCACTGGATGGTGATTAATATCATGTATGTCAGGTCCTTCTTAGTGCAGATCCGATCCTATCGACCAAGTTGCAATGTGGTCCCCAGTCTAGGTGACTCTACATTGCTTGCACTATGTTGAGATAAGATGGTGGTTGGAGATAGTCTACAGGAAACCCTGAACCTAGGTGACACGGGATCGAATTGGTCGGGGAGCATCATTCTCCGCAAGATTACAGGTACGCCTTGCTGACGAATGCCAAGTAGCTCGAAACCTAGGTCCAGGGTTTCCTGTTGACGACCACCAACCATCATCTCAAAGCTTTCATAATTTGTGTTATGTGAAATCATAAATATATTTTTGTGATATCTCAATGTGTAGAAAGTTGTATTAATAACTTTTCCTGAGTTTTTGGAAGTATATTATTCACAGTAAATAAAAGACCGAAATAAAACTTATACACCCTGAATAAGTGACTTTCATTAAGTCACTAATCATCAGAAATGACATTTTCTGCTCATTGAGATATCACAATTATATATATTTAATAACTTTCTACCCATTGCTTAATAAAATTGAAATTTTCAAGGATAACACTGGCATTGATGAATACATGCGAAATCATGTTACCGTTGTAGTGTCACTTGCTATGTTAAGCCCATATACCTTATTCTAGCTTTTGAACAGACCAGTTTATCCATTCTCGAGTCATGTTTTGACCTTGTTAATCATTCACTTATCAACCTTGACTGTTTTTATATGAGCGTATATCTGTGTGCACGTCTTATCCTATTTATCACATGTCTGTAACTCATTTTTATCTGGCTATAAACACTAATTAACGCTTGAATAAATGAAGTTGGCTCACACGCCTTCTCCACCGCGCGTCGTTTCGCTTCGATCTCTCCTATTCGCTTCATCCCTCTCATTTCCTGTCCCGATCACTGAGTGTACAAAATATATGTATTCAAAAATCTATTCTCGTATTCGACTTACTTAATTCTGTTATTCACGAACGCGATTTAAGTCGTTGAAATATACGACGATAGCCGACATGTGTATTTTAATGACAATCAACATACAATCCAATCAGAGTCAGATTCAGTGCCACTATATCGTTAATCCAGTCTTTGTATTGTTGGATTGGTTGTGACAATCATAAAACCATCTATCTATTATCTGTCTATTTAATCTTTGGATATAATATATGGACAATCAACCTGTTTATTTATTCATTTAATAACAGTTCTGACTATTTATATTCTCATAACATTTATATAATCTAATAGAATACATATCCAATTTTAACTTGTCAATCTAAGACGTATTTAGATATTTTCTATCTAAAATGCTGATTGTAGTTAAATCAATCATTAAATAAAAATTTATGGAACTTGGATTTTCCAAAGTTGAACACTCTATTTTACCTTCAGAAAATCTATAATGACTTTGTTTGGTAGTTAAATTTTCATTTAGATGTTGAAATTTCATAGTTTACACCATGAATGGACTGTAGTTTTATAAACCAGTAGGTATTGAACAATTGTTTCGTCTTGGTATGATACATTGGTATTAAACATCTACAACCTGACTGACGATTAGACCAAACGGCCTGCATGTCTCGTGGTTGTGTGCCTAACTTTTAGACCACAGATATATCATCCGTTGGATTATATTACTAACTTCAACCATTTCACAATGTTGAGCATTCATCTTACACCTCTATCAAATGTCTTTTGGTTTTCAAATAATGTCACATTATGGTGTAAACTGTAAAATTCAACAATCTCCACAAAAAGTTTCCACTAAATATACAATGACTTCAAGAAATCAGGCTGTTAATTATAACTATCATTACACAAAAGTTTGATTTGAGAGGTTTATCGAGATGAAATGATCTTGTTCATAGGTTGAATCACTGACTGAAATTGTTTTGGAGTACCACACAGTAACTAAGTATTACTGAAAACTTTAATCCTATTATAACGATCCCAAACAGTTTGAAGCAAAAAATGCTCTGTTAATCAAGTGAACAGATTATTAAGGCAATTACGGTAAAGGTATACTTTCAGGGTGAGTTTAAATCAGTCGTGAAGAATTTAAACTAGTTTTTATCCAATCAAATTGTAGCTTTTATTGGCGGTTTGTTTTTTGTAAAAGAAAACTATCACATCATTAGAAAATGTGAGCCAACTACACGTAATTAATAAACCTATAAATATCTGCTATTGGTTACTTTGCCTGTAAATCGAAAAAAAAACACAACGAAATATAAACTCGTCCTTATGAATATAGTTGTTTATCTTTTCAAACTCTTATAAGGAATCAAAGAGACTTTTAGAAGTTATTTTATTGTTCCCAGATATGGTTAGGTATTTGGGGGTAAGGAGTGTGGTTTCAGTCATGAAATGACATCAACTATAGTGTAAAAAAAGTTCTATAGTTTATACAGGTAAATTAATCTCATTCATAAAGACAAGAGGGGCTATGTGGTTAGGCAAAGATGGATAGTGGTAAGCAGTGGAATACAGGACGCACGTTTCGTCCTATTTGGGACTCGTCGGCTGGATGTACCTGCATCTCGGAGAGTTGATGTCCACTCCGGGACTCGAATTCAGTACCGTTCGCTAGCCATTATCCATCTTTGCTTAAAAAGCTTGGAACTTAAGGTTATATCGAGGCATTCCGCACAGGATGTACATATGCCTACATAAGATTGGTCAATTGCAGTCCTAAATAACAATGGGAAGATACAAGTAAAACAACACCAAGGGAATTTAGACTATCTGATCAGTTCATCCATAAAATGTAGTCCCACCACGTTTAGGTTTGCTTCATGGTTAAGTGTTTAAGGTTAATATTTGAGAAGTGTCAGTTTTCATGTTATATAAAATCTACAGAGGCAGAACCAAGCAGTCGATAGGTTGAACACTTTTATTTTCACTACGTAGTGGTAAAAAATAATTTTCTGCAACTATTTAAAATGTTTTAAACAGTAAAAACTGTATTTCTACAGCTCGTTATACATGATATTTAAATCTCATGCAAAATCCTAAAAGTCACATTCTCGGTTCTGATTATCTCATCCAGAAAGTATACTTCTGCCTCAGTCCTTTATCAATGGTTTGGGTTGTTTGCGCTGTTGTAACACTGATTATTTGATTGTGATTGAGTTATTTTAAAATAAATTATCTACGTCATATTATGGCTTTCTATGATTTAATTACGGTAGAACTATTATATGGATAAGTTTTAATAGCACACAATGTGACATAATATAGTATATAGTTTTTTCATAGTTGACGAAAGCATTCAGTTCTTTCGTAATTTAGTTGATGAAAAGAAACAACGCATAACTGTTAATTTGAAGTTTCACCAGTTTATAATTACATCGAAGTTAGTACAGTTTATAAATGATGAATTTGATATTCAGGGCGAGGGTGGACAATCCAATTGTTATCTGATGGCTATATTGTGAGAGACATGTGTGAGTGGGTTGTTGGAATTGAATTTTCTACCAAGTAACAATCGCCACCCTTATTTCCCTATTTTGTTCAGTCTGACCACCTATATATATATATATATATATATATATATATATATATATATATATATATATATATATATATATATATATATATATATACTCATGTTGTAAACATTACCATTTAGCTTTTTGAAGCATGTTTTTTTACACAGTCTTAGGCTTCTTCCACCACATGGGTTATAGACTGAGTTGGAAACTTGATGTATTTGAATGGGACTGAAGAAAACAGTACCATGATCGTTTTGGTTTTCTTCGCTCATACGTGAACAATAAGTCCGGTAAGGCGTTTAATGTACACGCGAAACGATCGAATTCTTATCTGTTCCTAAGCTAATAATCAGAACTCCAAAACGGCCAAACAAGTACCATGTATTATTCTATCTTATTCAAATTTTAAAACTCATTTTATTACGCATATAAAATACAAGATGATGATCTATCATAAACGGCAAACCTCTATATTACATGGCTAGGACATTTGTGTTACTCACATGAATAAAAGGTTTACTATTAACTGTTAGTAACTTATGAACGGAAACAGATATGGTAGCAGTTTATGTACTAAATAAAAGCTTACAATTAAAGCATTATTAAATAACTATAAACCAGTTGATTAATAAATCCATGTTAAGTGTGTTGAGTGGTTTGAAATAGTCGTCAGAACACCCTAATCGACCTTGATTTCTTGCAAGTTAGTACCAGCCAACAAGGCGAACCTGAAATCTTGAGGTCTCCGCTGCAGTCGGTGGGGTTCAGACTTGTTGTAATCAACTTTACAGCCTAAAATGCTACCATTACTTTACTAGAACTGCGAATGGCATCCTGTAGAACTGAGATACTTGCGATTTCTGTGAAGTTGAGTGACATAGCTACGAGTCCCACAAGGAATATCATTTTCCTCAAGACTGAAGACATGTTTATTGACGAGTGTCAACTAACATAAAACTTTAGTGGGGCAGGGTTTTCTGTCAACTACTTATGACCACCTAACGTACTCTATACTTATTTTATAGTACTCAACATTTAGCAACTTCGAAATGTCATTGCTAGAATTCGACCAATAAAGGTGCGAAACTTTGGGTGATGTTCTCTGGGGAACCAGTATTTATACATATATATAGTGGACAATGTAAGGTCAATTAGTTTTTGGCAATTTATCAGTTGATAACTATTCCAGTTTTATTATGAACCATTTTCTGGATAACCTTAATAATCACACGATCACCTGATAATCGCTTGTATATCGTATTTTCAGATTTATTCAACCAAGCAATAATGATGTCCGGTTCTGATTTATCCCAATGGGCATTCAGTGACCCAGCCAAAGTTCGTACACGTTATTATGCAATTGAACTAGCTCAACGATTAAATTGTTCTTCAGTTCAAATTAATGCTATAAATGAATCACAACAATATATACGTAATGCTAATTTGCATCGCTCATATACGAATAAAACATTAAAATTGCCATTTGGTGAATCATATGTGAAACAACCTTTAACTATACCATATTCTGTACAAGTGGATGCATATGCATTAATTTATTGTTTAAGATATGAGAAAACTGCGGAACAAATTAATGATGCTGTCCTGTAGGTGTATTTTGATTTATTCTCCTTTTTGTTAAACTGAAATCTCGACAAATATTTTGCCTTTTTTTCCAAAACACAACTTATGAAGCATATTGAGTGAGTTGAATAAGTAAAAACTAATAATATACAAGAAACGACAATAAACATATTTACTTTCGCCAGCGCCTACTGTTTGGTTGGGCTGTTAGGATATCAGAAAGTAACAGTAGAACTAAACTATGCTAACAACCTAGAACACCTTATCAGTCAAGTTATTTGTCGTTGAGTTTTGAATTTCGAGCAGAGATCCAAAGACCTATATCTTAAATCTGACTGGGATTTTTTTTGTACAGATTACTTTTACAGAAGGTAACACTTGATCTGTGATTACGAAATAAGTTGACATTTGGTAAAAAAACAAGACTTCTTTACATACATACATTAATATGTCAAAATGATTGGTTGGTTTTCGTTGATTAGTTTAATGGAAGACTAGACTGTCCAAAAGGTTTACGTTTAGATTACGTGTTAATATAAATCTCTAGAAGAAAAATTTCCACCTCATCAATTAAGAGTCTGAAGTGATGATTTCTAATTTAATCACTTCTTAGCGTAGAGTGAACAAATCATTATTGTTTTATGCTAAGTCATCTCATCCTCTGCAAATGGATTGAGTTTACAATGAATAGTGAAGCTAGTTAGAAGTTGAAGACGGGGTTATAAAAGAACAAAATTAAACATTATGTTTCAAACTGTAAAACGTTTAATTATATAAAGTCACAAATAAAACTATTTGATAGCTTTATTAAATAGAATTACAATGAAACTAACGTGATGAAAGCCAGTGACTTAGTAAAGATAATATTACTCATAAACTAAAGTGGTTCTAGCATAGTCAGTACACTTTCATTCTGTATAAGTGAATCATAGTCAGAATAACATTATTACAATAGCCTTGTAAAGCGAAGTGAACGTAACATAAGCTTATAAGTATTGGTTGTTTGTATCTTTCCACTGGTGTTTAGGATTGTAATTGATTAGTTACTTATAAAATATGTGCATCCTGTGACGATCGCCTCAATATTGTCACTAAGTTATAAGCATTATTAATCGGAGATGGGTGATGGCTAGCAGTGGAATCCAGGACGCACGTTTTGCTGTATTTGGGACTCGTCAGCCGGATGTATGACCTGTTATTTAGTGATGATTATGAAGAGTTTCTAGGTTTCAGTGCTCATCATTGATTCCATTTAATATCGTTAACGATAACCTTCATATGTAGTTACCTTCGATAATAATCATGTTTTTCGTTAAATTTCTGTATTTTAGGGTAAGTACTGTAATAGCTTTTATACCTTTTGGACAGACAAAGCAATTTAGTCTTTTTGAGTCATTTTGTAAACATATACTTGGCATAATCAATTAGTCACTTGTGACCTGAAGCGTTTTTATGTGTGTATGTATGTATGTGTGTGTATGGATATCTATCCCTTAGTTTATTCGTTATCCGTCTTTAGCTTGTTTTTATCTATCAGACTATAAATGTTAAATCACGTCTACTTAAATTATTTACTCAATGATGCTAATGTTTGTGCTTATTTTATTTCTATGTAAATGAATGCTTGCAATAAATTTTTCAGAAACATTTTGTATTTGACTTTTATTACGGCTGTTTTATAATAAGGATTAGCATAACCATGATATACGAAATTAAATAGGGAATTCGCGTATCATGCTTTATTCATCATTTTCGTCATTCATGAAGTCAGTACGGTGCTATAAGATACTTTGAATTATCTATCATCATAGTTATTTAGATGTTCCCTTTCCAATTACACAAAAGTTGTAGTGCATCACTTTAATACTTGAGGAATACGATAAACATAAAACTATCACTAATTGTTTGCAAGCTGACCTCTAAATGCAGAAAGAATGTGTGTGAGTGTACGAGTATTAGTTATTTGGCAATTCGATGGAAAAATAATTTTCTGTAGATTTTGAGATGAGTGGTAAAGATGATAATAAATATATTTTCTTATTATATACTAAAATATGATGATGCCACAGTAAATTATCAGGATAAAACATTCATTCGTTGAATTGACTATTAGTACAGGGTTATCATGTGCTTATTATTGACTAGCATCAAATGGCAATACTCGCAGTTCCAGTGAGAAACAGTGACCAGTGGAGTTCAACCGTGTCCAGTGTGAGACAGTTACCCACAAAGACAATGGAAGATAGTCGCGCAATATCGTGGATTGGTTGAAGTTAGATACCGTTGGATCCCGGCTAAGTGGTCTAGAGGCTAAGCGTTTGCGCGAAACCGAAGTTCCTGGGCACCATAAAGGAGTCCCATACTGGGACGAAACGGCCATTCAGTGCTTTCAAGTTTTCAATGGTGGTCTAACACTGATCGGTTTACGATCTCAATTGTACAATTAATTGTTTACACGGACTTTGCTAAGTTTATTTTGGTTCATAAGAATTTGATAAATTTATTTCATTAATAATCAACCGGCTGTTTGTGATCTTTTTGTAGTGAATTACACTCTCTTCCAGGAGCTCCATCATTTGTCTGGACACCAGTTGTTGACGGAATATCTGGTTTCTTCCCACGTACACCAGCTAAAGAACGTTCACTAGGTAATTTTGCTAAAATACCACTACTTGCTGGTGTTGTACAAGACGAAGGTTCGCTGGCATTAGAACACTTTTTATATCGTAAGAGTTGTTTTTTCGCAGATTTATATATATATATATATATATATATATATATATATAAATGTAATAGTACTGTGTTATTTCGTGTTTATGTACTAATTAGATATGATTTCAATATTGATTGGATTATTGTCAATGAGGTATGTACGCTGCACAGTTGTTTTGTTCTGATATAGAACTCTTCATTTTCAGTGAGTACCTCTGATCCCACCGTCTGGAGGTTAGATGTTCGTACACCAAACCGAAGTTCTTGGGTTTCATACCCGGTGGCGGGGTTGCTGATGCTTACTTCTGAGGAGTTTCATACTTGACCAAAGTAGCTGTTCAGTGTTTCAATGTTCTCAATGGTTTTCTAACCTATGTTGCTTCTTGATCTCAATAGAATCTAACAATCACCACAGCCACCACACCGATCAAGTGTTTCGTCTAGTGAAAGCAACCCTGAGCTATATACTCTGGATAATATAACCTAGTAATATCTTTAGTTTAGTTTAATTTAATGAAATCTCAGAAGTTATAATATATTGCTTATTATTCTTTTGTGAAACAAGCTTGGAATTCACTGAATTTATTATATTCTTTATTTGTTTTTAACATCATAGAATTAGATCAATATGGTTACACAATTGAAAATTTTACAGATACTATTGTAAGACGTTTTATTGGTACCCTGTTAAATGATTTAAATGTTTTTCGACATAATCAAACTGCAGAAGAATTATATACACGTTATACATGGTGGTCAAATTTAGAGAATAATACTGCGCGATGGAAACGTACTGTTGACGTAAGTTTATGTAGATTTATGTATGTACATATTGTCGATATGGTAGTATTTGCAACTCAATTGTTTTGTTATCATGTGATATTACCCGTAGTACAGGTGAAATGTCCATCTCAATACCGATAGATGAGTATAATCAGGGGTAATTCTAATTATAAATCTTTAATTCAAAATTATGAGACATAGACTGTAAACAAAAACGTTTTCTGTAAGTTCTTGGTTACAAACTACATGTTTCTTCAACTGATTGCTTGTGTATGGTGGAAGAACTAAGTGATGAGATGTAGGATACTCAACACAAATACTAAACTGAATGGTGATAGGGTTTTAAACCACAACCTATTCATAAGAGCGATATTATGGTCTATATTGAAGTTATTTTAAAGAATGCTATTGGATGACTAGATTATGACACGAAATCAATTAGTAGGATAATTCACTGTAAGTCGGAGTCCAACCGGTACATTCAGATTATATCCCTTGAGTTTACAAGACTATTTTGATCTATAATGTACAACTTTATATGATACAGCTTATACTTAGTAATAGTAGCAGAAATATGTTGATTATTTTTGCCGTTTTCTGTCAGTCATGAAGTTTCATATTACGTCACACTTTATATATATATATATATATATATATATATATATATATATATATATATATATATATATATATATATATATATATATATATATATATATATATACGTTTTTCTACCTAGCACTGATATTACTATAATTTCGGACGCAGATTTCTGTTTAAATTACTTATTCCGATGATACATTAGAACAAACCTTGAATAACAAAATTTGCAAAAGATATAAACGGCCTGAGGAAGAAAGAGCAACAGTATGATTTGATACAAACATTTAAAATACTCTCATATTTGAAGTGGTATTATGAAGATTGATTTAACTTGTCAGTTGTATCTTTCTCTGATTGATCACATTTGGGGTGACATTGGAAACGAGTGAGTACTAGAGGATTATTTTGTTACAATGTGGAAAATCCCAGTGCATACATACCGCCCTTCCAGAAATCAAATCAAGAACCTTCAGGCATCGCTACAAACGCCTAACTATTAAAACCATTAGGTCGGGCTACAGGTTATGTCGTCACAAAACTCTCCCAACTAAAACTGCTATATTCGGTTCACTATTATATTGCTTCAAAATGTTCATGATGTTCTGGAAAGACGTTGTGAGTGATGTAGCTTACAGACGTCAACAGAGAAGCAGTTTTCTCCAGTTGGATTCGATAATGATTGTGCTATTTTGTAAATTGATTCAAGTTGGGATTGTCACTGAACTCTGATTTAGTAATTTCAATAATTGAGCATAGGCTTCAAGATTAGAAGATTCTTGATTCGATTTCTGGTAAAGTCGTAGGTAGGCACTTATGGGAAGTACCATATTAGAACAAAGCAGTTTTCTAATGCTCTCTAGTTTCCAATGATAGTTCAGCTGAGATAAATCCTTATCGAATACAGCTTACAATTTTGATATATACGTTAAATTAACGAAGCTGAAACGGATGGATCAACGGAATATGACAGAAATCAGAAGTCAGAGATGCTATCAGACGCACCTTATTATCCAAGATTTTTCCTAACTTTCTAAGGAAATTGGTTTATGTTATTAATTTAAAATAAGAAAGACATATTTAATGATGAGTTGTCTACGTATATTTGACTCAATATAAATAGATAAAAATTTCCTGTTCAGTCTTAGTTTTCTCACTCAAGTAGCTGGTTAGGCTGGCATATAAAAGGGTTTTATATCAGTATCAGACTCAAACAATTGCACAACATCACATGTATTCGAAATATAGCCAATGATCATAATAAGAGGGATTAAATACAAGATGTATTTTATTAACCATAGTTATGTAATAGATAAACCAATAAGTAAACATGATGAACACTCTTCCATTTGTTCGGTTAAAATAATAAGGAATTTAATGATTTTATTTTTTTACATAATCTTACTGATGTTTGCATTAGCTGAACAAAGTCCCATAACAACCAATTCCAATAACTTAACTAAAATCCAAACACAATACTCCAAATATTCAGTCATGTGACAGTTGATCATGAACATTGAAAACTTGATATATTGAATTTAATTAGCACATTACTAATCAGACAAACATGGTATTGGTCAGCACTAACTATTGAAAACGGAATATACCCATTAATATATTAAATAAGAAAGAATGGTTCAGTGAAGAGTACTCTTTTAGGAGAATTCATTTTCAAAACTATACAATAATACTGATAATAAATTTCTGTTGGATATGGTGACAGTGAGGTAGAATAAACACAGGTATTGAAATTTTTTTAAAACAGGAAATCTAATAATCCAATCATCGAAACAGAAATAAACCAGTTGAGGGGGAGGTAGAAGATTTAAGGAAGATGGAAAGGGAAGCAGATGGCTATAAAGGAAGAAGAGTATGGAAAGAAAAGAACTTATAAGACATTAAGACTATGGTAGAAAAAAGATTGTAATAATCTCTTTTGGACAGATAATTCTGGTTTACCCAGATGTATGGCTATTACTTCGGCAGTGCTAAGAAGATGCAATCTAATTGTTTTTGAAAGACTTCTACTTACCTTGTAGTTGACTTTGAACTCAGAGTCTGTCTTGATTAAGTGACCTGTGTTCACAAGGTGTTCAATTATTGAACGTCTTATTGAACCGTTTCCTCCTATTCTTAGCCACGCTGGATAATGTTGTTGAATTCTTCTGGATCATGTTTGTCGAGTCACATATTCTCAAATCAATTATATAAGAATTTACGTTCAAGTAAATTACAAACAAATGTTTCAAATGTCATTCGACTGTCGAAATAATGTATAAATAATTGTCAAGATAAACTGATCAATTTAATTCAATTACATACTGAAGCATTGCCTATATTAACAAAAATATCTATAGTCTGCTATATGGGTTTTATCAAGGACTGAACTTGAAACATCGACAAATGATGGATATTACACTGTACAGTTTAATTCACTTAGCATTTATTCCCTGGAAGCTAAATATTATCTATGTCTACAAACTCCGCCTGGAGCCACTCTGGTCCCATACCCGGATGAAGGAGGGGGTTGGCGACCCCAGCCCGTAGGAAACTAACTCGCCAAAAAACACTAACCAAATAAAACATTCAGTAGAAATGTTGAACCTCATCAACTGTGCTATATAATTTTTATTTTTCATTGTGAATTTTTATGATCTTGAACAAATTTCATCTTTTAAATCTTTGTTAGTTGGTTGAAATTTAAAGTTTCTTTTATAATTAAATGGCTGTTTTTCTCTTTGAATTATTTCACTTCATTTATTTATTGAGATACTTATATCCACATAAGTAGCATATAACGATAGTCAGGAATAGAATGTATTTCAGTTAAAGATCGAGAAGGAAGGAACGAGAACGGAAAGCAATTGGTATGAAAATGCAGGATCAATGAAATCTGAGACGATGGACAGATATTTGCCAAAGAAGCAGTCCGATTTGAGACAGTAAATTAATATTTTGCAAATTAAGTATTTACTGTATGGTTCTCAGATTTTAGTGAGATATTCTGTAATTTCCTGTTCAAGTACATTCGACTGTCTCCACTCGTGTTCTTGTTCACTACAATAGTAGTTCGGTTAATGGTACCAATGATTTAGTGTAACGTCCTGTTTTTATGAAAAAAAAGAATATTAAAAATTAGTGGTCGTTATGACTAAAAAGGTACAAGGTCAGTGTTACTGTCAAATGTTTAAATATCTATTTCATTTTCAAGAGTTATTCATTAATATAAACTAATCACCACGAAATATTCGAACAAAAACAAAATTTGTACTTTGGAAGGTTCGATGGTTAGTTATGATTAATTGAATTCAATCATTTAAGGAGTGAGGCAAATGAAGTTTATGATATCACGCTTTATCATAAATTGATTGAATTGAAAGATTTCGACCATTCGTCTGTAGTTAATGCTTCCGTGTTTGTTGTTGAAATTTAAGATCCGACACTCCGCTATAAATAAAGGTATCAGCGCTAGTCTCACTGGCATCATGCACTAGAACGAAACCATTGTATTGAGTGCTCAGTCATATTCTGTGAATCATCTGAAACAACTAGCAAAAATCTTGGCACAAAGTGGACTTATTTTATTTCGAATAATCTAAGTCATCCATATATATATATATATATATATATATATATATATATATATATATATATATATATATATATATATATATATATATATTTCACAATGTAATTTGGTGTAACATGAATAAATACTAATCCGTGAAAAACGTTAGCTGAAGAATATTAGCTACTTACTAAAAGAAGTAGTATGTTTATTAACAAAAATATTTGAGAGTTTATAATCAATTATTTTATTCACATTTTAGTTGGTTTCAGATATGGAAATTATATCACCATTAGATTCTATTGTAAAATATCATTCAGTCTATTCACCGTCAGTTTACTTCTATGAATTTTCCTATTCCAGTCCAAATGACAAACAAGCAACACCAGAAATCGGCAAGTTTATCAAATACATAATCGAAATTTATGAATTATTTATAAATTGATGTGTATTATTTTGAAATAAACAAGTCAATTACTACTCATAAATCTCTTTTAAATTTAAGGACAAAATATTACGAGCCGATGAAAGCTAGACCACCATGGAAAACTTAAAGTTAAGGAACCTTCTTTGAAGACTGACATTCCTATTGTTTTTTGTATCGGAAGCAATTTGACTAGGAAAAGATGTGTAGGTGGTTTTCTTGTCACAGTAACTTCAGTTCGGATACTTCTGAAAATTCAGGAGTACTGGACAGTTTTTTCGTCCTAGTATGGGGTTCATCTGAAGTGTACACTCACGACTGTAACATGACCATTATATCTTACAGCCACTTTTTAATAGTCAGACCACTGAGTTGGAATTTCCCAGCATACCATTCTCAACTTCAATCCATTTACGAGACAATGTATTGAACTTGTCTTCTTTCACTGTTACATACCTTTTCTTTCTAAATACTAAGAAATGGAGTAATTTTTTCGGTCTTGTAAGCTTTGGTAATTCTGAAAGCGTTCTATATTTTATTGACGTATCTCATATGTGCTTCACTTATATCAATTACATGTTCTGCTTTGCGAGTAACAAATCACTATGTATTGACCACTTTTATGTTTGACTTGTTTTTTGGTACTGACCGATTTCTATTAATCAGGTTGTAGTGTTGCCACTAATCTGATTGACTCGATATCGGGTACTATATTTTGATGCTAGTTTGTTGGAGGTAGTACTCAGGAATTTATACTTGACTTAAGTTCGTTCAAGTTGATACTCATCAACAAGGCATACTTTCAATCTCGAGGGGACGTCTTAATATGATTTACGTGACGTTGAATCAATCAGACTAGTTGACACATAACATTTTCCTTGATGAAATTAGATTTAGAGTAGACAAACACGGCATTGGTCACTTTTCAGTGATCAATCTGTAAATATCTCTCTTTTGTCTTGAGTGGTACAGTAGTAACATATAAGACTGTGGACCTCGTTGACGCCTTCTTAAATTTCACTGGAAGCATCAGTTCTCTCAAGACTGCATGCACATATTAATAATAAGTCTCAACTAGCACGAAACCTAAGCTATTCATTTTTTCCTATCGGCTAACCTCAACCGCTTTACATGATTTGTTTTTCTTTCACGTCAACTTTGAATTTTAAGCACAATTGAAATATCAGTGGTTGAGATCATGAATCAATTGAAGCTAGACCGCTATGAAAAACCTGAAAGCACTGGACGGCTGTTTCGTTCTATTGTGGGACTCCTCAGCACCTACGATCCCGCCTCGCGAGATTCGAACCCAGGACCTGTCGGTCTCGCGCGCGAGACTATAGCACTGAGCAGGCATCCAACGGAGTTAGTGTCTAGCTTCAACCAATCCAAAAAGTTGAGATACATATCCACCATAGTATTCTGTGAGTTATTATCTCACAACAGACCCGGTTGAACTCCATTGGTCACTGCTTCTCACTAGAACTACAGGAAATTAAAATATTTATATATATTACGCTTAGACATGTTTTAAAAATTATCTTCCCTACTGGTTAATTAATGCACAATGATCGGGTCGGTTAAACTGTAAAAACCTTTGCCTTCAGGATGTCTTTGTTCGAGTCAAAAAGCTGTAATCATCTTGAAACAAACTTTTTCACAGCATAGATGTCTTATAAATTTATTTCGATAAACAGTATGCTTACAACTAATTAGCATATCTGATTGAATTCGATAGTCACATGTGAGTTTTATGCAGATAAACGCATCGGTGTGGTGGTAATTCTAGGAAGCATGGAATCAAGGCGTTCAGATCAATGAGCGACCGATAGGCACACCTATTTATACTTGATCTACTAATCCATTCGAGAAAGATTAAGTAATAAATAAACTGGCCAAAGATCTAAGGGGCAAAACAGTCAACTTGAACACGGTGATATCTGAAAACGATGAAATCTACGAGGATAACCAACGACAATCAAGGCCATAAGCGCAAACTTCACTGCATGAAGTAGGTGCTGACGATATTACGCAAAACGACAACGAGAGCTTTTCAATTAAATCATCTAGCTCAGTGAACGCAGCAATACTAGAAGATAACTACATTATCTTGTAAATCAACAATAACACTTCATGGTATGTTAGGTGGTGTTAGTTTCAGTATAAGGTAATTACGGTGAATCATTAGGTATATTCGATTTGGACTGTAATTTATGAAAAAAAGAGTCCAAAACTTGTATAATGAGTTTGAAATAACAATGTCAAATTTTCATGCGATAGTATCATTGGTCAACACGTGAATCACAGTGTTGATTTCACATCTTTTCTCTGTCACAACAAAAACAACCTATTTATAGCTTATTCACAGAACTCATTGTGTTTTCTTCTTTTCACTCTATAACTGTTCGTTTCGATTAAATTCACTATAAATAGTTATTGTGTATTTTGATTAAGTGATTTTCTATATGATTCAAAGGTAATTTTCATTAATCAGAGCAATAAATAGTTAACTGGAGAACTTTCGAATCAAGAAAGTCAGGAAGAACTGAATAACTTCTTCGCCCTAACTTACCGCCCCCCCCAAATCCTGGTACGTCAAAGAGTGGGGAGAGTCAGCTCTCTCTCTCGAATTGTTCTCATATGGCCACGTGCACAAAACAACTGTCAGGGAAGTCCTACTCACTGCTTTCTCGCGGCGGCGGTGTTGTTTACGAAAATGAGAGTACGAAAAGAGAATGTCCTGTGCTCTAACCGGGTTGGTGGATATGGAGGATCCACCTAGGGGAGTTGGAAAACCCTGATGGGCTCTACGATCCTAAGGAAGCAAATGGCGTATGAACCTATTGTTGGTTACCAGCTACCTTGGGACTGTATCTCCTGACGCTGCTCCACCATTTTGTGGGTCAGACTTTCAGGTCAAAGGTTCGGGGAGTGGTCCCTCATGAAAAACATCTGCTTCGGTTTGGGCGCTTGGACAGTATTCTAGCTCAAATATAAATTAAATGATGAGTGTACTGCATATATATTTTGTTGCTCCACCTTACCAATGTTTACGTGTTTAAATGAATAAATAAATAAATCAGTAGTGTTCATTCACGATGCTGAATGAAATTGTGATATTATAGTGTTTATGTTTCTAACGATAAGACTAGATTTTCAATCTTAATTCGCAGTAGCACCCTCTTATTCAATGTCATTCACAAGTTTAATGCTTTACTTTTAACTTGGTTTACTCTGTAGTTAAGAGTTACCCATTAAAAATTCAAGGAATTCATTTCAAAGCTAGTTGACTTTCTTTGTTTTTCCAAAGTTGATATGTTAATATGTGATACTAATATCCAAATGGGTAATCAATGAACCAGAATAGCTAAAATTATGCTGGAATGTTGGAGATGTGCAGTTTCAAGTGGATGTATTTAATTGTATTCTCTGAGTTCAGTAATTAAATTGCGAAGCTTTATTTGTCATTCTGATCATCATTAGAATTTATTTCAATTAGACGTGAGAGGTTTAACTATTTCTCAAGAGCTTATTCAACGTGTTGTGATGATACTCTCGGTAGCTTGGGATCTTTGGAAGCTTTATTGGCTTCATTACCCTCGCATTAATATTGAATACTTTGTTTGGTTGACCTCTGAATACATAACTAATTAACCACTTACCCCATAATTTAGTATATAAGGTCTATGTTGATATGTCCATTGACTAAAGATTGAAATGAATGCCATGTATTCAGAACGTCTCTAGGATACTTTGCATTTTCTTGAGTTAGAATCCGAATGTTTTCTCAAATGAATTCATATCCAATCTATGGATAATTCAGATACGAATTTATTTTAGAAAAATCAAATATTCTGACAAAACATTGTTGTTTAGTTGATATCAGTGAAAAATATTTAATAAGTTGACATATATACTACTGATGAACATGATCCATTAAAGAATATTCACAGTAGTATTTGATAAACAATAATCACATTGCATTACTTATATTTTTAGGAATTTATCATGGAATTGAATTGCCTTTTCTATTCGGATTCCCTTTTATGAATAAATCAATTTGGCTAACGTTATTTGGCGAGAATAATCCGTTACCCCGATGTGTATCAGACAATTATGTTTATCCATATGATACAAATATCAGTGAATATTTATTGGATTTATGGGCAAATTTTGTGAAATATGGGTAAGTTGTTGAATAAAGATTGAAATGGGATAACAGTGTAACAGCTTTTTAAGATTGCAGATACACCTTCCTAACGAACGTTAACTAACATGAAACACGGATACGGGGGCTGTTGATGATTGCCTCTACTTACTTAACAGCCAAAAATAATTCATCATGGAATCGAGTCACTTAAAATGAAGCCCGCATTGCAACGTCGTCAGACAGAATTCTACCAGTACTAGTAAATATACAACCCAGGACAATAGTAACTATTATGGTCGGTTAGTGTAAACATTTATGACCTACAGGTCAGTCACAACTCGAATAGTTCTGTACCGACATATCTGGCTGTGGAAATGGCGACTCTGGTTCATATCCCATAGGGAATATCAACTCAGTCAATAATTGGGATATGTAAAACTGGGAAATGCAAACTAGCATAAAATGATTCCAAAGAGAAAACTAACTGTACGTACTATTTAAGTATTTATGATACTTCATTTATTACCAATTTTTATTATATCAGTAATAATAATTATCATCTTAAACTTTTAGAAATCCAACTCCACAGAATGTGAAAAATATTAAATGGCCAAATTTTAAACAACCGGAAGAAGCTTATCTTCACATTGAATTGAATAGTTCAATTAAATATCATTATAGATCTTCAGATATGGCATTTTGGCGATATCGTTTTGAAGAATTAGCCGAACCTGTACCAGGTAGTTTGTGAACATTTTTTGCGCGCATTATAAAGGAGTCCTCAGCATAAGACCTTCGCTGACGAACAATGGTAATCAATAAAAGAGCAGGTTTAAAAAATTCACGAGTATTCAGACTAAAATATATCGTTAGTTCATCACGTCTGGGCTCATAAATTCGCCAAAGACGAAAACAAGGTCCTTTGAGTCCAGAGGTTAACTCATGTCGCTACTGACAGTCCGATTTAGCCAATATATGTACGTCATATGAATGGGAATGTTTAATTACCAAATCACGTTTCAACGTATCCAAATCATAAGTACACAAACGATTGTCCTTCTGAACGAGATAAATAAGCGTAGACCTTGGGTAGGCTTTATTGAAAAGAGTATCTCTTTCACAATTTCTCAACATTTGCTTTTTAGATGTCATATGTTCACAAGCATCTGATGTATATGCTCGCTCAACATATCAGCACGTAACTGTTACACCACAATTCCAATAACGACTCATTTGTATGATTTCTTCACTTAGTAAGGGATACGAAGAAGCTAATATCAGAGAATAAAGTTGACTAAAACACGAAAATACATGTTAAACAAGCTCAATTACATAACATCTAATCACTTAAAGAGGAATTCATTGGTAATATTAGCTTAAAACAGTACATGATTTTTATGAAATGTTGGTTAATCAACTCTCGTCAGAATGATAACAGCGCATAAAGCTTAATTTCATTCGCAATGGTTTGAATTATCCAGTTGTTGGCTGAATTTTGGTTAGTCTTAATTGGTATATCTTTCTAGTTAGCGTTTTTTTTAGCGAGTTAGTTTTCTACTGGATGGGGTCGCTAACTCCATGCCCAACCCTTGGCTTGGGACCGGCAGTAACTCTGGGAGAGCTGCAGGTGGAAATCATCTGATGAACTACAGTGCAAAGTCGTGGATAGAGGACAGCTGACAGATGCATTCCAAGTAAGGACCGGAGTTAGACAAGACTGTCTACTCTCTCCCTTCCTTTTTCTCCCGGTGGATGACTGGATTATGAAGACCTCAACATCTGAAGGAAAACACGGAATACAATGGACAGCTCAGAATCAATTAGACGATTTGGACTTCGCAGATGACCCAGCCCTCCTATCACGTACACACGAACAGATGCAGATGAAGACAGCCAGTGTAGCAGCAGTCTCTGCATCAGTAGGCCTCAGCATGCACAAAGGGAAAACTAAGGTCCTCAAATTCAAAGCGGAGAACAGCAATCCAATCACACTTGATGGCGAAACTCTGGAAGATGTAGAGTCCTTCACATACCTGGGAAGCATCATCGATGAACAAGGAGGATCCGATGCAGACGTAAAGGCGAGGATTAGCAAAACAAGGACAGCATTCCTACACTTGAAGAACATATGGAACTCAAAACAACTTTAAACCAATATCAAAGTCAGAATCTTCAATACGAATGTCAAGGCAGTTCTACTGTACGGAACTGAAACTTCGAAAACTACTACAACCATCATCAAGAAGGTGTAGGTATTTATAAATAGCTGTCTACGCAAGATACTCAACATCCATTGGCCGGATACCATCAGCAATAGCCTTCTGTGGGAGAGAACAAACCAGCTTCCAGCTGAAGAAGAAATTAGGAAAAGACGATAGAAATGGATAGGACATACATTACGCAAATCGTCAAACTGCATCACGAGGCAAGCCCTAACTTGGAATTCTGAAGGGAAGCGGAAAAGAGGAAGGCCAAAGAACACATTGCGTCGGATAATAGAAGCAGATATGAAAACGATGAATTACAACTGGACGGAGCTAGAAACGATTGCCCAGGACAGGATTGGATAGGGAATGCTGGTGAGCGGCCTATGCTCCTTCACGAGGAGTAACAGGCGTATGTAAGTTAAGTGGAAATCCTAAGCAGATTGCCTTGATACAATGATTATGACATAAGTTAGTCTTAGAATGAATGTAATGTGGTAGTAGTGGAATTCAGGATGCGTATTTCGTCTTATTTAAGACTCACCAGTCGATTGTATGTATATCTCAGAGATGAAATTCATTCTGAGATCCAGGTACGTCCAACTGACGAATCCCAAATTGGATGAAACAGGTACAGTGGATACTATTGTTAGCCACATCCCATAAATTTAATACTCATACAAAGCCGTTAGAATAAACTGAATAGTAGATCACAACTAATATAAATAAAGAGGCGCTTATAACAGATTTACACAGCTCATTTTCAGAGTAATCCTACACATTTAAAATCATATTTTAATGCCAAAGCGGATAGACAGGACTGTAAATGTAAAAACTGTTGATCATATGCAATACATATCCTAAACATCTGAGTTGGTAAAGATTCATCACTTCATTATCTCATTTGACAAGTATATCGCCCCTCCATCACATTATATCCCTCCAACTTAGGACAGTTATCAATATCGCAAGTGACTACACCTACATAATCATATGAGTAATTATCAATAAGTAACAATTACGATCGTGAATTGCTTGAGGTTAGACATTAACACCGTTAAATCCTGGTTCTGCGGTCTAGAGATTAAGCATTTTGACGCATGGCCAGAGGTCTTGGTCCAGATTCCCACGTATGGGTTTGTGGATGCGCATCACTGACGAGTCTCACACTAGGATCGGATGGCCATCCAGTGCTTCCAGGTTTTCAATGGCGGTCTAATATCATTTTGTGATTTAAACTTTAAAATTACGATATTAGTCGAAGGGGTTTTGTAGAGATTGGTTTAATTTGTAGATTATATCCGTCTCAACTTGATCACCGTTCGGTTTGTAGCGTTTGCAATCCGCAAATTATATTATTTTATTGATTGATATAATTTTTTTTCTGTCAATTTTCTAACCATTTCTCTACATCGCCCTCCCCAACTTGGCAATATTAGCATCTCCACCAATTTACTACTATCCTTTAATTAATGTACGATTGACTACACTGGTATTAGGTTGTCTTCTCAGTGTTGCGTTGATTAGTTTACTCATAATTATTGTGTTACTGATGAAACGTCCACAACCAAAACAATTTAAACCAAGTATACGTCATAGTACACCGGGTAGTGAATTTCATTCATTATTGAAAGATTCATTCTCTAATCGTAATGTTTATTCAACCAAAATGTCAACTATTCCTTGGCCTCAACCGCCAACAACAACGACAACATCAATCTTACAACCGTTAACAATAAGACCAACATTAAAACCACCACCAAAACTACCGAGAATAAGTTCTTTCGCTTATCTTAAATCCAATGATCAGATTAGACAAAAACAATTGAGTTTGTCTAATTCAACAACATCATGTACAAGCTACCACATATCATTATATTCTGAAGAGAAATTTCCTAACAGATTATCAACTAGACAGAATAATACTAATAAACATCCACCACCTCCCCCAGTACCATCAAACCGTGTAAAATCCGCATCTGGTTCTTCGAATGCATCATTGTCATTGATATCATCCTCATCATCCTCACCGACGTTGGGATCGTCAATGAGAACTTCAAAATTACACAGTCAAAGACAAATAAAACACAAACATGATAAAAATAGATTATTACATGGAGATGATCATGATGTTGTAATGAATCGGAAAGAATCGAAATCATCTGATCGATTATTGTACACAGGACACACGATGAAAAATAATAGTATTGCCCTTCCGACTACAGATATACATAATAATAATTATGATTACAATCCATATGTTACAGATGTTTAATGTTAAAATTTATACATTAAATTGTATATGGAAATTTTGATTAAGCCTGACTGGTGCATTTCTATCGTCATTTTTTATCTGTTAATTTAAACTCGCATGTTCGGTTTAATTTCCAAAAAGAAATTGAGTGGCACTTTAAAGGGTGGTTAATGTTCTCTATTCTAATATGGTTGACTTCTGTTTATTTTTTATTGTGTATTTATCAAAATGTTGATACTGTTCTCCGCCTCTCAAAATATGGAATTGTCTTATTTCTTTCAGGAGTATGTATTAATGTTTTTGTTAAGAAAAGATAACTGAAATATTAATTTCATGTTGTGTTATAAAAAATTTACCTGCTATCTTGCAAATCAAAGTACAATGATGTATACCAGCGCTAGAGTTGTTTCTATTAACCGACTATGATCTTTGGAACCACAACCAGTTCAGTGAATCGTTATTAATTCCATCGTCCTAACGTATGTATTTATATATATAAGCCATCCTCTCTAAGAAAGGAATATAACAGCATACAACTGATTGATTGTCGAATTGTAACTAATGTTGTACCCCTTTTAGTGTCAATTCCCGATCGAAGCTGCTACCTTGACGCCGTGGTCGGGCTTGCCTATCGTGATGACCCAACCGAGCTATATTGGCTGGAACATATGTTCCTGTAGATTCTACCATGCCAGGCAGGTCGATTGGAGAACGGTAAGACTAAAATCAGCAACCCAAAGTCTGAGGGCGAAGTCGTACTGCTGACTGTAGAGGGGTGTGACAGCAGTAAGGTGTTTCCCTCGAACAACCAGCATGACAGCGATGCTGCCTTCTCACAAGGAAGGAAGTGGTTAGAAAAGGTCCACCCTAAAAGTGTCACACCTTACCTTACCTCACGGATTTCCGTCTCCGGCAATAAGGCTGTTTAAAGAACGGAGATGATACAATAAAAAACTCCTACGATATGGCCGTGCGCGACCGGCCTCAAGTTGTCCTTTGGGATCTGCAGTCAAGCTCCCAGATCGTTAAGGCCAAAACTAATCCAATTTCCTTTCCAGGTTCCTCAAGAAATACCCTTCCACGGTGTGGGCAGCCGGGAAGTGATATCGGCCCTCATACCCGTAACAGCACACGAGAACAAGGTGGTCACATTCAAATCCACCCCACACCTCCTAATAACTCTCTTATCTACATGACTAACCCTCCTCACGTCTCTTTATCACCTCGAACCGCTAGGGCAAACGATTCGAGTACGTAGAACGCTATTCCTGGTCTCCTGAAACCACGCTCTAAACTACACGTAGGAGCTTTTAACGTACGAACACTTTGCCAAATAGGACAACAGGCTTCCTTAGCTAGGACTTTAGAATCTCGCGCCATCGATGTGTGCTGCGTCTCCGAAACGCGCATACAGGATCCGAGTAGCGTCATTCATTTGACCTCACCATGCCAAAATAAAGAACCGACGCGATTCACACTTCGTGTATCTGGAAGCCCTGATTCTGCTTCCCGTGGCCTCGCTGGTGTAGGTATAGCATTGAGTCCTAGGGCAGAACTAGCTCTCTTAGAGTGGATCCCAGTAGACAGTCGTTTGTGCTCTGTCCGACTGAACGGAACAGTAAGAATCCGGAAAGATAGGGACACTCGTCGTTGCCTCTTCGTCGTCTCTGCCTATTCTCCCACTGACTGCAGCTCAGATGATGTAAAAGATGAGTTTTACAGAAAGCTTTAGGACCTTCTCCGAAAAGCTAAGCGCTCGGATGTAGTAATAGTGGCCGGTGACTTTAATGCTCAAGTAGGTAAACTAAGAGAAAGGGAAAGACATATGGGTGGATTTCATGGTGTCGTGGCTCAAAGAACAGATAATGGCGACCGTCTGTTGCAGCTATGCTCAGATAACCGCCTGTTCCTTGCAAATACTAACTTTAAGCATAAGAAAAAACATCTTTTAACATGGCGACCCCCTAATTCGTCCCAACGTTGGACCCAAATAGATCACATCGCTATCAGCCACCGATGGAGGGGCTCGGTAGAAGACTGTCGCTCATTCTGGAGCACATGCCTAGATTCAGATCATGCTCTAGTGCGAGCGCGTATTTGCTTGCGTCTTACTGGACGTAGGAAAGACGCTGCAAGGAAACCTCTTAGGCGCCTACTTAATGATAGTCAAGCTAAGAGTATATTTCAGGAACAACTAGGAAAACAGTTAGGCAGCCATGTATGTGATGCCCACCCCGAGGCAGCATGGAACGATATCCGAAAAGCTGTGGAAACAGCAGTGATATCTGCTAGTAAGGTAAACCGTAAAGTTAGGGAGCAACACTGGATCTCAGCAGCATCTATCGCATTGATAGATGCTCGGAAACTCATTCCACCTGGCCCAGAACATAATGAAGAGCGGAGTCAGCTTAAGCGCAAGCTGACAAGAAGTCTACGCAATGATCGTGAACAGTGGTGGGTAGCGAAAGCAAGGGAGATGGAAAAGGCAGCGGCAATAGGTGATAGCAGACAATTGTTTAGACTCGTTAAGGAAACCGGAATTAGGAACCCGACCGTTAGCAAAACAATCTCAGAGAAAGATGGACATATTATACATTCTCAATCCAGGAGATTGGATCGATGGGCAGAACACTTTAGGGATCAGTTCAACTGGCCTTCAGCCACACTTCGGTTTCCCACGATCTCTAGTCAACCTGAATGGCAAGTTGATGTAGGTCCTCCGTCCCTTTACGAAGTTGAAAAAGCCATAGGAAATCTGAAGCGAAGGGAGAGCAGCAGGCCCTGACAGGTTTACTCCTGAGATTTTTAAGGATGGTGGTCCAGTATTAGCAATGAGATTAACCGAGGTCTTAGGTAGAATTTGGGAACTGAACGTAATCCCATCTGACTGGTCTCAATCACTGATTGTGCCAGTCTATAAGAAAGGACAAAAGTCCTCTTGTGACAATCACAGAGGAATCAGTTTGACTAATATAGTGTCTAAAATATTAGCTTCAATAGTACTTCGACGCCTAACTAAAGCTCGTGAAGAGCAAACTAGAGAAAATCAGGCTAGTTTTCGACCTGGGCGTTGTTGTATAGACCACATATTCACACTACGTCAGGTTCTAGAACACAGACACACATTCAGACGCCCCACAATGGTAGTATTTCTAGACCTTAAGGCGGCATTCGACTCTGTTGATCGTAAGGTTCTATGGCAGTTTTTGCCACTGAAAGGAGTACCAAAGAAGTACATTAACCTTATACAGGCTCTCTACTCGAACACAACTGATCGAGTGAGAGCTTATGGCGAACTGTCATCAGAATTGATTACCTCAAGTGGTGTTCGTCAGGGCTGTTCACTCTCCCCATTCTTGTTCAACTTTGTGGTCGATATACTTTTAGAGATAACACTCTCCTCATGTAAATTTCCAGGGGTTGAACTTCTACCGGGAGGTTCACTTGTTGACTTAGAATATGCTGATGACATAGTTTTATTTAGTGAAGACGCTGACAAAATGCACAGTCTTCTGACCACTCTAAGCAACAATGCAATCATGTTCGGGATGCGATTCTCTCCCTCGAAATGCAAAATGTTGCTTCAGGATTGGGTTACATCGACACTCGAATTAGTGATAGGGAGTGAAGTAGTTGAGTGTGTCGACCGCTTCACTTATCTTGGAAATCTCATCAGCCCTTGTGGTCTGGTGTGTGACGAAATCTCAGCACGAATACAGAAGGCTCGACTAGCTTTTGCCAACTTGCGTCATTTATGGCGTAGGCGAGATATCCGTCTATCAACCAAAGGACGGGTTTACTGAGCAGCAGTTCGTTCCGTCTTACTTTATGGCAGTGAAACATGGCCGGTAAGAGTAGAGGATATCCGTAGGTTACTAGTATTCGATCATAGGTGTCTTCGAAACATTGCTCGTATATCATGGGACCATCGAGTAAGTAACACAGTTGTTAGGAAACGGGTAGTAGGTAAGGATGGCAAATCAATTGATGACGTAGTGAAACTTCATCAGTTGAGATGGCTGGGACACGTGTTACGTATGCCCAACCACCGACTGCCTCGACGTGCTATGTTCAGTGGTATAGGAGTAGGTTGGAAGAAAGTTAGAGGCGGCCAGACCAAAACATGGCACAAGTCCATGAAGTCACTGACAAGTGGACTGAGTCATGTTGGTAGGTGTAGATTACCTGGTTGGGGACCGCGAGATGTTAGCAACCGATGGTTAGAGACCCTGAATGACATGGCTTAAACTCGTTTGCAATGGCGCAGGTGCATCCACTCTCTGTGTTCTCTCAAATTCTAATCTTCTGGATTCTTCATGTCCCTTTTTTCTCTTTCCAAATTTATTTCACTGTATTATACTCTTTAAATAACATCTCCAAACACCAATCTTCCCGATTACTGCTTGTACTCTTATTACCTCTACCACTACGGGATTTGAATCGACCACTGCATCTCTGTGCTAATGTGGTGTGGCAACTCGAACTGATGTACGTACGTATGAAGTTCTACGTTGTTACTGACTGATTGACTTTAGTGTCAATTGGATCCTATAGATTACGTTACAATGTGAGAGGTATAGCGTGAACTATGTTGAGATGTTGGAGGTAGTGAACGAGAAATCGTGGGCGTATGTTTCGTACTACTCGCGACACATCAGAAGCGTGTATATGTAGTCTGCAGGGAACTGGTTTTCTGTGACAGTTTAGATCCCACGTCACTCAGCTTCGATCGTCGTTAAGAGACTATACATACATGACATATGTCACTGCTCATGAACCAATCAATGTAAATATATCCGTCTAACAGGTCAATCACAGCCTAACTAGCTTAGTGGAAACGTCTTAAGCTGCGAAGTTAAATTACATGGGACCAACGATCTCAGGTTAAGTTAATTATTCTTATTTCACCTCAATGGATCTCATCACATTTAAGAACCTTCCTTAAACTTTCCGAATTTTGATATTAATATAAAGGATGTGGAATAAATTGGATGGGATAAGTTACATATCCATGAATGTTTAGTGCATCCGTTCATCAGTATTCAATGTGTGAAATTACTAGCATTTTTCCGTTTAATAATTGAGCGGCCAGTAGTTCATGGCATAATCATTTTAAAAATTACGTATAATATTGATGTGTCCTTGTATTGGTCACTATTGTTTCTGGAATCACGTAAAATACCTTTAGGAGAATAAAAGCTTTATTTAAAAATTCAATCTTGATAATGTACGGTTGTCACATTGTATATATATATATATATATATATATATATATATATATATATATATATATATATATATATATATATATATATATATATATCCTAGATCCTATTTGAAAACTAAATATGATCACGGCAAATGGAGAGCAGGTTTAATAGTCAAGGTGTTCAACTTTCAAACATTAAGTCGTTGGTTTAAATCACATTCTAGCTATTTTAGTTTAGGCAAACAATTGGTGGCATCACTAGAGTGTGGTTCGAAGTACGACGTATTTATAACCGGAAAAATATAAATCAACCACCATATTGTTGACCAAAGTAGTGATAACATAAGAATAGCAATTGGGAAAACTATGTTGCATTAGAGACTTTTCTTTATGCACACGCACACAGAACACACATTTATTCTTTTTGTACAAAAGGCTCAAAGTGAAAATAGAACCCTGACAAGAAAAACGCAACAATACTGAAATTAGGAGTACTATGACCGTTTATACAATCGGGTAGTAATAGAGCTATTAATAATAACAAAAAAGAAACAACTGTTTGCCGATTGATAAACAGACACAAACATGTTCATCCTTCTCGTTCAGTTTCATATCGCTGAGACAATGAAAAAGAAAAAAAGTATAACAGAAAAACAAACTTTGAGAATTTGAAATAAACCGGCCAAAAAATTATAAAACCTTCACATCTTAGTTACATAATATATGTTAAACGTTTCACTAAAATAAGAAAACCAGTTTTCCAGTTTTTGTTAAACACATTGACACTACTTTGACAATCACTGAAAGCCATGAACGATTATATGACTGTTTCGTTCAAGCATGCGAATCATCAGGGGTGAGAATCAGCAAGTTCATCAGAGATTGAACCCAGGGACTTCAGGTATCACAAAGAGCACTTAACATCTAGACCACTGAGTCGGCGTTTACATTTCCAGCTCTTATCAATTAGTGATTTAGTATGACCACCTTCCAATGCCATTATTATTGGGGTATATCTGACTCACACTCAACATGACTGGACCCTATTGGTCACAGGCTCTCACTGGAAATCCATGAAACTACCTCTAGAAACTAGTTATAAGTGAGTAATTAATTAATTAATTAATTAATAATAATGATAATAATAATAATAATAACAAAGAAAGTGAACACAAAGCGTACATTCAATATATATCGGGAATTTAAGTTATTTATGGTGAGATGTCGGTGAGCAATGGAAATCAGTTATATATAACATGTTTTAAGACTAGTAATGTTCATCTAGAACCGTGAACGGAGTCAAACCCAAAACCAACAATACTTGAAAAATTATTCATGTAGACTATAGCATGCATAAAAACTAAATAAACACTACATACTAATGCCGAATAAATTATTTTCATATAAGTGTTGTAAAGATCATAGGTGTAGTCGACATTTTGTGGCAATTACTCTTCTAGAGAATATTATATCTATATGGAAAACTAGATTTATTTAACTAAAGACTGTTATTTACAACCAGGTATCAAAGTGACAGAAACATAACTATGAGTTTAAATAGAATGTTTTATTAAAAACAATCGATGTTTTAGTATGATTAAGTTTACCGTACATATCCTGTACAACTACAACATACTCTCCAAACGACACAAATTTCTATTTTGGAAGGGTGAGTATAATTTTTACCAATGGGATTAAGTTCTTTAGTTTCTTCTGTCAAGTTCATTTCTTACTGGTCATTAGGCAATAGCCATACAGACATCAAGCTGTCTCAAGATCGTATCTGATAAATGAGGAAACTATGATGGAATTATAAGAAAACAATCACATGTGAAGATCGCCTATTTTAACATTCTTCTACTTCATCAACTCGCCTATCATTGTGATTATTCACTCAACCACTAACAAAATTACTTCTCTATGAGTTTACTATAAACGCAGTAGATTGATACAAAAACTGGTCAATTTACATGTTGTGCAAAATTTACATAGCAATAAGCGAACATTTGATGTCATTAACGTAAATACTTCTACGCTATAACAAAAAAGGTAAAATTACAATACTACACCTATAGCCATCAGCGACCAATCAAAACCAAGATAACTGAGGGTAACTATTAGTGGGAATTCAAAGGGTAATCGACGGTAACTTGTTGCTGGAAAATACGATATTGACTATACTTCATATTATTAAGAGACTGGAATTTTTCGTGGAATAAATTGCTAGGATCCAGATTTTAGGGTTACGGTACTGTGACTTCTAGCCTAGTTTATCGATAGCCAGCTCTAATACGTTCATCAACCATGTTACGCCTCAATCCTTGGTGATTTTATCGTTTATTTTGCATTTTAGAACTCTTCCAAAGAGCCCCCAAATGCCATGTTACGGCCGAGAGTGAGAAGAGCTCGCTCTCCCTATCGAAATGCTCTCAATTGGTCTCGTTACTGCCAAGAAAGTTCTAATCGTTGCTTTCATGAGGTGGTAGTGTTGTTTACGGAATTGAGAAGACGAAAAATGAATGTCAGGCATTTTAACAGGGCTGGTGGACACGGAGGTTCCACCTACGGGAGTTAAAAAACCCTGACTCCAAACCAATGGTGCACATGAGCTCCAGGGTCCTGAGGAAACAAATGGAATACGAACCTATTGTTGGTCACCGGCTGCCATGGGACTGCATCTCCTAGTGTTGCTCCACAGCCCTGTAGATTAGACCTTTAGGTAAAAGGTTCGGGGTGTGGCTCGCTAAGAAAGCCACCTGCTTTGATTTGGTTACCCGGGCAGTATCCCAGCCATCACACAAATTCAATGGTAATTACTACTGGAGAAAATATTCTTGCTTCAACTATCGTTCTGACAAATCATATTCACAATCATTTGGTAACATTCGTTTTTACTTCCTTTATACTACGTCACTTATCTACTACCCTTCATTCTCATTGTGTATTTTATTCTTCAACTTATATAGCAGCTCACCTATGGTGAAAACTCTGTTCTATCTAAATGACCTCAAGTCACTCACTGATCGAAAATTGAATGCTACCACCGACTAGGAATACTGAAACAGTCTTTCTGAAACCACGTACACCATTCAAACTGACCTCTTTTAAAGTTCGCAAGCTAATGCAGATCAGACAACAGATAGGGTTGGCTGTCTTTCGAAAGCCTCAACATCGATGTTTGTTTTCTATCTGAGACTCGTATTCAACACTCTAATGAAGTAATGCGAATTCCCACTCCACTTGCCATTTTAAAAAGTTTGTTTCACATGCGTTTATCCAGGAACCCTGTGGCATTTTCGTCTGGTCTTGCTGGTGTCGGTGTCGCACTAAGCGCTAGATCTGAGGCAGGACTAATCGATTGGATCCCCATTAACAGTCAGTTATGTGCTGTTAGATTAGAAACAATGTCTTTTCGTCATCTCTGCCTACGCCGCGACAGATTGAAGCCCTGACGCAACTAAGGATGAGTTTAACCACCAGTTAAGTGTCCTTCTACAGAAAGTGAAGTCGACAGTTATTGTAGTGCCAGTCGGAGATTTGAATGTTCAGGTCGGGTGTTTAGGCATAGCGAGTTGTTTGGGTGGCTAGTGGAGACTTGCTGGACGCAAGTCAGATAACGGTGACTGTCTACTGCAACTTTGTGCGGATTACAACCTGTTCCTGGCTAGCACTAACTGTCGGCACAGTCATCGCCGATGTGCTACCAGGTATCCTCGCTCTGTATTTCAAGCCTGGACCCAGACTTACCACATTGCGATCAGCTACCGCTGGCGTGGTTGTCTACAAGACTGGTGCTCCTATCTGAACTTTTATACATGACCATGTTTACGCCAACCTTATTTTACGTCCCATGGGTCAACAAATTCATCGTTCTAAACTGATCGATGTTAGCAAATTGGTTTTAGCTTTTATTGCTACTACATATCAAACCAAGCTAGGTTCAAGACTAGCTACCAGCCCACCGAAAAGTACAGATAAGCATTGGCTGCAATGGCATGACGCCATGAAAATGGTGAGTAAAATTGAATGCGGCTTCACCAAACGTCCCGCTTATAAGTACTGAGTTTTTTCAGGTTGTTTACAACTCGACGAAGCATGTCGATCTACTACAGCCAACCGCGAGTTTGAAGATAAACGAAGATTGCTACGTAATAAGATTGTGCAAATCTTGTTTAAGGACCGGGAAGCCTGGTGGTCGGAGCGTGCTAATGAGTTGAAAGCAGCTGCTGTATTTGGTAACAGCAGGAAGCTCTTCTACCAAGAAGTATGGTATGAATGAAACAATCTGTGAGGCTGATGGGATGCCAATCAATAACATTTACCGACGACTTGGATGATGGACAGTTTTCCGAGGAACGGTTAAAGTGGTCCGCTACACCAGCGCCATAGATCAGACTGTCCTGCCCTCCATGGCCGGTGACGACTGACCTACCTAACGAAACGGGAGTTTGCAAGGAACTCCAACTGATGAAGCGCCACAAATCACTAGGCTAAGATGACTTAACTCCGACCCTTTTTAAAGATGGTGCCGACCTTCTGGTTAGTCAATCAGTAACAGCGTAGAACTTCGTACGTACGTACATTAGTCCGAGATGCCATTCTGGTTAAGGAACTGACTAAGTTGTTTACAAAGGTCTGGTATTTAGAGTGTCCTAACATCATGGAATGAGTCGATGGTTGTCCCTATCTTTAAAAAAAGTTCACGTCGTCTCCGCAACAACTATCGGGAGATAAGTCTATTTCCGATCGCGTCCAAATTGTTGGCTTCTGTCATATTTCGTAGATTGTTCAAAACCTTAAAAAATTGATTCTCTCCACTGTCCCATTCAAGCAGTGGCATTAGGCAGGGTTGCTTAATCTCACTTTTTTTCAACTGTGCTATCGATGACATTCTACAAACAGCTCTGATGGATGTAATTAATGATGGTGTAGATTTGTTGCCTAGAGAAAGCCTTTTCAACCTTCAGTATGCGGATGACATTGTCTTACTGTGCGATGATATCCAAGCCATTAAAATCCGCACTTAATCAGTTGGCATTCAGTGTTCGTATGTACGACATGTGCTTTGCAATTTCAAGTTGAAAGTACTTTTACAAGACTAGCAGGACCCTGATCTTGCACTCAATCTGGGTAGTGAGCAGATAGAAGTAGTCGAGAAGTTCGTGTACCTAGGTAGCTGCATAAGTGTTGGTGATGAGATCAATTCACGTAAAGTGAAAGCCAGAGCGGCTTACGCCAATTTGGGCCATCTTTGGCGCCTTCGTGATGTTAGTCTGGCTGTAAAAGGTCGGATCTACAACGCGTCGGTGAGAGCAGTTCTGCTATATGCTTGTGAAACCTGGCCTCTCCGAGTTGAGGATGTTAGAAGACTCTGTGTTCGATCATTGTTGTCTCCGAAGGATTGCTGACATCCAGTGGCAACACCATGTTAGTAATGCAGAGGTTCGGGATCGTGTGTTCGGGCGCAGAGATGATAATCCAATCGGTGTCACCATCTTGAAACATCGACTTCGGTGGCTTGGACATATTCTACGAATATCGTCCCAGAGAATTCCACGTCGTGCATTATTTGCCGACTCTGGGACTGGTTGAAAAGAGCCGAGAGGTGGTCAGTGTATAACATGGCGTCGTGGTACGAGAGAAAGCTATACAGAACAGGTTTCTGTTGGTCCCTCACGACTCCATGGTTGTGGACCTAGAGATGGTGGCGATTCTGTTGTAACCTTATTCATAAGAATGAACATAACTAGTTTAACTGAAGGAATTCTTCCGGGTTGTATTTTTCCTAACTGAACTGTTTTTCCCATTGTTATTATTTCACTCTTATACACTAATTTCTTGTTGTGTTTCTTCACTGATTCCCGAAGTTTTGAGTGATGACTCCAGTGCTGCGAAGAATTCCACCTTTGAGGCGTCGCTTGTATTGTAGTTTAATCCTTTCTGTTCATTGTTATTCTTATTTTTTAATATACCCACTTTACATTATCTCTTCACAACCTTATTGTTATTGTGTGTCGCATATATATTTGGAGCCCGCTTGTAACAATGTTTATGTGTTTAAATAAATAAACTCACGATAGACGCACCCTGATCGGCTATTCACTGATTGACTGGTCTTAAAGTCGCTCTTAAAATAATTTCAGGTCGTCGGTATGGTACAGTTTCACCACAAAAAGAACAATTCTTAAGAATTTTAAATGATCTGAGCATCATAAAAAAGTATTTCTGTTGTTCATTTGATGTGATAGACGAGTCATTCTTTCCTAGAAAGTAATTTCCTCAGTTCTGACTGCTTCATTTCTATACTTTTACAGATTTTTTCATTGAACAAAGAAAAAGCCCACTTACCGGATGTAATTTTTTTCTTGCAATTTCCAGTTTTTTTCGTAGTTCTTTGACACGAGCTTCTTGTCGACGTATATCGTCATCGGTTACAATAAATGTCTAGTCAAGGGATTTTTTAGAAACGAAGGAAACCAGGTTATTCATAAGATCAGACTGACAAGATTGCTTATAAGTAGTATGTAATCTTGTGATGATAAAGACTAGTTCTGAAACAACATTTGTGCATTTAGGTCAGAAATGTATCCCAAACATGCTACCATTAGCGAAATATCATCACAGACTTTATCGATTGCAAACTTCAAAATTGAGTCGTTAAATGAGACTAATATAAAGACAAACGAGCTAAAAAAATATGAGTTATTTTTTTAGCTAGTTTTTATCGTGTTCGGATATCTGTTGTTGGGAGGAAATAATTGGCATTTAATGGAGAAAAACAGACCATTTGACAGCAAGGAATGTAAATTCTTTAGGTGAAAGGTGAATATTTGGAAAAAATTATTTTTACGTTAGAAACGGTATATACACGCGCACATGTAAAATGATAGTGACTGATATTAGCTAGTATTACTTATAAAGCGACTCTTGTGATCAATTAATCATCGGTATTGGATTAACTATAGGTTAAATAAGTATTTAGTGTTTACGAGGAATGTGGTGAACATGTAATCCGAGAGGTGGTCAGTGTATGACATGGTGTCGGGGTACGAGAGAAAACTATACAGAACAGGTTTCTGTTGGTCCCTCACGACTCTCTGGTTGGGGTCCGAGAGATGGTGTGACACGGTGGCTAGAGACGTTATCAGATATGGCTCAGAATATAAGTCAGTGGCGATCCTGCTGTAACCTCCTTTTACTTTCTTCATAAAAAGTGGTTGTATCTTCCTCAACTGAAAGATTTCTTTTGGTTGTACCTTTCCGTCTCCCCCATTATTATTATTATTATTATTATTATTATTATTACACTACCTTACACTAATCTGGTCGTTACTGTCCTTCTTTTTTCTTTTACGCTCCTTACCTTCTTTTTTCTCTTCTCATTTTCACTGTTTTGTGTGGCACATATATATTTGGTGCTCTCTTGTACCAATATTTATGCGTTCAAATAAAACAAATATAGTCAATGTAATGACACCTGACAAGAATGATTATCAGCTGTTTTCGATTTTAAGGTTTACATCACGAACTGAACCTGGATGACAAGTGAAAACAGTGAGGCACTGGGCACTTGTTTTGTCCTAGTATGGTATGGGACTCCTCAGCAGCGCGTATCCACGACCCAGTCGAAAGTGCAACCCAGGACGTTCAATTGTCATGGTGAGTGCTTAAACTTTAAACTACGGAGTTAGAATTTACTAGTTTACGTTTTGAACTTCAGTCAGTTCAAGACATTGTGATTTATGAAATAAATTGGTCGAGATAGATAACAGCAAGAGTGCATAGTTATTATAAAATAGGTGAACGTACCTTAATCATTGGTTGTAAATGATTAATAACAACACAGGGATTTTTCTCAATAGCTGAAGGTTGTTGCTCTTGACCAATAATTGGAGAAATCTTAGAGGATGATGATGACAACGCATGAATTAAACTATGGACTAACTGAACAGGTTGATAACCTGGTACTCCAGCACCTAGCATAAGAGGAAAAGAGTGATTTATATAAATGCATCCCAAAGTAAACATTTACTGTTATATATTCAAACTGTTGTATATTGCTCGCTTGAACAGATCATTTGAACATAAAGCGCGCTTATAACTAGTAAGCACCCACTGATAAAAAAATTACATTCTCTTGACCACTAATGCAAAAGACCTTGAGCAATGATCGAAATACTTATACTTATCGGTAAACGAGCTCCTTCTACTTCAAGTGGCCGATTAGGAGGTGAAGATAACGACCAGAATAACGTTTTATTATAATATTACCCTTATTACCCTCATGACTAAGAAACCCATGGGATTATACGTCACAGTTACATCAAAATGCACCACACATACTAAATAACAATATATACACAACTGAATCATATGTGATACTTACTCTGTATTCCTTTAGGCAAAAAAAAGGGTTTGAAAGATTCGCCAGTATCCGGATCAATAGCCACATGGTCAGCTAATCGTTTTTCCCAAAATAACTGTAGTAAAGCCAATCATTTTTTTGAAATGTTTACCTGATGAGGAGTTTCTTGATTAGTATTCTTTACATCTGTTCGCTTACACTCAGGATGAGAACGTACAATAACCGGTTTAACGTCATTTGTTATCGGGAATGGACACCTTCTCATTGGTAAACTACACTGATTATCTACACGCGGAACTTAAGATTATAAGTAGTTTAACAAAATATTTATACCTTTAGCTGATGGTGATGATGCTGATATGTCTGCAGTTGGTTCTTCCAGCCTTTTCGACTTATTAGTATTATTATTACTGTTGTTGTTGCTCATCACAAATTTACCCATTCTCCAATCAAACAGACCAATATCATATTTATCACCTAAAATTATTTGCATTTCTTGTTTATTTCGTACAACTTGATTTTGAGGACTGCCAAATAATATGGGAGGGAGGGAGAGAAATAGAAATCAATGAGATTAGCTAGTAATACATAGACTACCTAATATAATAAACATCTGACTTCCCAGTGCCTAATCCATTAGGTCGCATACATTCTTCACGTCTCCAACCTGTTGGCAAAGACGACGGCCAAATCTGTTGTTGTTGGTGTGGTTGTTGGCCAGACACTGAATTCTGAAGCTGTTTACCGTAATTTGCATATGAGCTACGTTTTGTTTGATGATTATTCGATTGATTTACTGACTGGTTCTGCATCACTTACACAACTCTGAAAAATAGAAAATTTCAAAAGATGAAATAGGAAATATGCAAAAATCACGAGAAAAAAGTAGGAAGTCTATCTAGTTAATGTCTTTGATAATTTCTAATGGAAATGTGTGGCGCATATATATTTGGTGCCTCCTTGTACCAATATTTATGTGTTCAAATAAATAAATAAAGGGAAATAGTAACGAAGAGGCTAAGCTGGAAAGTGGCTAGAATAAAAGGAGAAACTTAAGACGAAATTGTACTACTGATTGCACTGGAGTATGATAATAGTAGTGTGTTTTTTACAGACAACCACTATCTGTAGCGATACTCTTTTGCACAACAGAAAGTTAGAAAAGGTAGCCATAAGAATACTACACCTCAATTTATCTCATAGACTTCCGCTGGAGATAAGGTTCTAAAAGTACGAAGCTAACGCATATAAGACTACGTATAAAATAGCTGTATGACCGGCCCCAAGCAACTGTTCCTTAGGGTCATAGTTTCTCCCTTGGGTCACTAAGACCACCATTAACTCAGTTTCCTTATTAGGTACGTTAAGACGTATCCTTTCACGGTGTAGGAAACCAGAAAGTGCCAATCGCCCTCACGCTTTTAACAACACTTAAAGCTACATTGACTGGATATTTTTAACAATAGATATTACGATAAACATTTCTTAAGGAAACACCACTGGCCTGTTTTAAATCAGACAAACAGGTAGTTTGTGCAAGCCGAGAATCTAGCATCCTTAATAATCAATAAATCTTTTAACATCCGAAAGCTAACTCGACCATATTTAACCAGCCTGGTCAGATCGTGCAACACAACCCGAGGAATTTAAGATTAGTTCTTCGTGCGCTTTAATGTATGAATAACCCCCTCCTACACAGGTAGACATTTCCATTTGCAAAAAGTCGGTCCAGTCGTCGAGTATAGACTGCTTAGTCTCCGAGATACTGACACAATCATTAATAAAAATGTTGGTAAAAACAAGCTAAACTGAGAAATCTTTAATATCCTTTTAAAAGAAGTCGCTAATCGATTGTGTGATTTTAACCTCTAAATAGGTGTCATGTACCCCAAACATTATGTGGCCCACTCATTGTAGAGGTTCGTTTTCGAATTCCTACACATACCCTGGACTGTTGAATAATTAAACCGGTTTTGTCAGTCATTTAGTCTCATGTTTACTAATCGACAGAGGATATTTTTATGACTTGCCAGTGGCCAGGATGACTGACAGCTAAGTAACTATAACAGGTGATAACACCATCCAAACGGTCATGTGATAATAGAATATGTGCAGTCCTTAGGTTACTTAGTAAGTCTTCAATGTTAAACCCATTGCACTAAAGGTTGAGACCATCACTTATGACATGTATACTATAGCACCAAGCGTGACAACTCGTTTTGTCTTACAATAATATACTGACTGAGTGTGACAGCCTTCGAAACGAGTTTGAAGCAGAACGTTTCTGATATTGGATTTTGGAATGAGGGTGGCTATCTAAAGAGCTATCAGGCAACACAACTGAATTCGATACATCAAAATTTAAAGACCATGTAAATTCAGGCTTCGATATGCTTGTTTAGCCAAATGAGTGAAAATCTGTAATAGTGGTCGAGAAACTGACCGCAATGCTAAAAGTTGATAGACCAATAGGACATGTCTCCCCTCCACATATGCTGGATATATGTCCGATATCTGATGCACAATCCCAACAAGAATATCACAACGTCGTCGATCCGATGTCTCTATCTGATGAATCAATACAGGAGTTGGAGGACATCGTTGATTTACAAATTGGACAGTAGTTAACATGCTAATTAAAGTTTCACCCAACCTCTCTACTTTACGAGAATTTGGGTAAAGTTTGGAGTTTTCCACATAGTCGTAATAAATATGGTAGTTCTTCCTAAAGTTTAGGGAAATTTGGGAGAAAACCCCAGTGTTATAAGATTCATTGATGAAAACCTGATATTTCCCCAAAACTTTGGAGATTTTCCCCCGACCTGGGAAAGTTTTGGGGTTTTCGAGGCATTTCCCCAAAGTTTTCTATTGCGGTTTCCCCCAAATTTACCCTATATAGTGCATACCTGGTCAATCTCGAGATTGACCAGGTATGCACTATGGTTGCTGAGTTGCCAGTACTAGAAACGCGTTTCACATTGTTATAAGCCCATCATTTGTATATGCCCACAGGAATGATAAGTAATTTCAAAAATACACAATGACCAGAAACAGAACTATGTCCTTGTCCGTTTGAAATTCCCACTATTCTTAATTGTTAACTGATCAAACTCATGACTTTTCTGTCCGTGAATTTATAACTCATTACGAATTTTATGTTTATCCAGGAGACCTATCTAAATTCAGTAGCCTTATGACGAATTATTTTGAAGCGGTTGGTTTATTTGTTTTCGCTTATTGACGTTACGGTCGTTGATACCTTCCAGTGTAGGTGATCTAGTCGCCAATGAACTTGATAAATGGTCGTAAGTCAATATTTCTAGAGTACAAATCAGGACATTTGTTCTGTGTCAATGAGGTTTCTAGAACAAGCACTTAGCACGTTGACAATGAAAAATCATAAGATTACATGTATGAAGAGAAGCTAATAGTCGCAATAGGCAAAGAATTTGTGAATACAATGTAAACAGGTAAGATTTTAAGAATAACAGATAAAAAAGAGGTTTGTGGGGTTGAAATATGTAGCAGTGAGCTAATTGTGATGGTGATAGTAGTGAAGATGCCACAGGTATTTGGAGTTTGACAACGCTTTAACCAGTAACACGTCCCACTATATATCGTACCCACCAAGTGAAATCAAGAAACAGAAGCGAAGAGGTTTGAAGATATATTTGATAGGCTATCAATATATCGAGGATCGTGTGAAATTTTCTGATTAGCGATTGCAGGGGATGTTGTGCACGGCGTTCACACTCGTGATCTGGTGCGGATGCATGAACGAGCGCCTTCAGCTAGGCGAGTGCATTAAAACTAATGTGGTCAGCATCCGATGTCGAAGACCTACAGAGCTATTTATTCTAGGGATCTATTTACCGCTACAATAGTAACAATAATTAATACTACAGATAATATGTCTAGTAATGGCCGGTCGCGAGACATCAAATAAAACTGTCCCAAGAAAGATCAAAAGCCGTGAGGGTGCATGAAGTTGTCGAGGCAACTCCCCAATCTGTCCACTGAGATCGCCCTTGTTATGTATTCAGAGAGAGAACTACAGATAGGGTCAAGCCGTAATGAAAATAATATGACCCTTTTCTAGTATTAGTTCTTCTATATTCTGTTCAACGACGGTCGCCTTGTCTAGTGCAATATTCAGAACGTCTACATAGGGTTTAACTGGAGTGCTTAGTATGTCATACACAAGTTGGTAGATTCTCCTGCAACCCAACGAGCAAACACACAGGCATAAAAGTCAGTCTTCATTCCTTCGTTTTATGACTCACTTGGCTACTCTATTATGTACTTGCTGCAACGCATTTTTAGTAGTAAGCAATTCCCCAAACTAGATGGCTTTATGAGTTTTCAACATTGATGTTGACCATATATCATAATGGGCGCATCCCTAGCTGAAGACGATCAACTAAGTACCAACGCCAGATTACTTTTGTATGTATTGTACTGCACATCTCCTACGATAACCAGGCAGCTTAGATTTCATAACCTATGAAACATTTACCTATAATTCTAAGGTTATTTCTTATTTCGTCATTTCTGACCCATAATTTTGTTGCTTTTATGATTGTTGCATGAAAAGAGATCCCAGACAACAGTATTGTCAATTTCCGCTAATACGCTACTCGTTTCACTGGTTAGCCTTGGAGATATATTGTTCAGCAAATGATTAATTTCAGTTCGTTCTTCGTTGTATAGTAATTTTATTCTATACTACGATATCTTTTAGTGTTTGGATCTCAATATAACTTCATCTCATAGTGTCTGATAACCTTCAAAACCTCATTTGAATCAAGAATCTCTTGTTTTTCACTTTTAACTTATTTCACTCTGGCTAATCCGGCTATTCGGAAACTGACTTCTGTGGGTATCACTAGCTTCATGCACGCTGGAGAAGGAACCTACTGGGTCCCCAAATACAGACGCTTTTCATCTTGATTTTACACTGTTAATTCTGTAGACAAGAAAATCGAGTGTGTTTATACTCTCGATGCTATTTGTCATGGGGTTTTTGTTGGGATATTCAGAAAAATATCCTAAAAATTATCCTGGTAAGTCTAATGCTATCCTTTAGCGTGAAATGGTGTCATTTTCCTATTGGTCATTATTTATTTTGCGTGTCATTTTCTTATTGGTCAATATTTATTTCACGTGTCACTTCCTGTTGGTCAATATTCACGGTACTCCTAACTGTATAAATATACATTTGTTTGTAAAATATTGTTCCTGTTCCCATTTTTATTCTTTTCCTGACCCCATAAACAGTTTCATCTACGGTTCTTGTTCTGATACATTGGAGATCGGGGAACAGTATTGAGGTCGTAGTTGGATATCTGAAGTTGGTCAGTCGGTCCACAATAGTTTGGGAATGTATCTATTTCAATTTCACAGCTGTCATCTTACAAGTATAGTTCACTTTTCACAGAATTGGGCGTGACAGTGTGCCTCTTTCTTCGCCCTGACCAGACCTTAAAAACGTCCGTAATGTACCTTCGATTCCTGAAGTTTACTGTTACCTGGTCGAGAGATTCAATCGTCATAAAGTGTAACTGCTGGATAAGTCAGAACGCGCTTATCACCCTGCCTATAAGCGCGCCAAGGCATAGTGATAACTGTTCACATGTTTTTTTTACATTGAGGGCAAGCTTTGTATAGTTTACTATATTTTAACCCAGTAATTCTTTTGAACACATATGCCAGTTGATCCGTTGGTGTTTATCGCTATGTTGCTTACCAGCTACGTTAACAGAGTCCATGGTCACTCTTAATGAAGAGGGTTTTCGTTGTAACGTGGCCTCGT